CATTCACATGCTTGTGTGATCACACAATTCTAAAATTGATATTGGAAAGATATCATATGGACATCATTCTGGATATTAAAAATTATCAAAATGGTCCAAAGCGCTCGATCGTTAACTTTCGGATAATCTCTCTACTCACTGGACCCTAACATACGTCCTCTTGTAAGACAGACAATTTAACTATTTAAAAAACTAATTACTCTTGTGTAATAAAACATGTATCAATGAAAAACTGCTTTCTAAATAAACAACACAGATTAACGCACGCATACACACACACATACATGCACACGCATATATATATATATATATGTATTTACAGTGAGGTTAACATACAAACTCAAGAGCCACTCGAGTAAGAGGGTTACATGGTAAGAGACTGAGTTTATGGGTGAAGATAATGGTTGACATAAGATGTGAAATGATCAAGACTGTAGTGATTATGGAAGCATCCTCTTGGGATTCGGTTCCACAAACCAAGCAGCGGTTCGTGGGAAGCTGATCGAGTAGAACTTTCATCACACCAAAAGGAATGACGGTGGTTCGCTAAGGTGTGTGACAACGGGGGTCTTAGTTGTGAAGGTTAGAACTAGTGAATGTAACAAATGTAGTTCGTCTGAACATTTTGAATGGAAATAGTGGTATAGTAGTACATATATATATATATATATATATATATATATATATATATATATATATATATATATTATATATACATACATATATACATACATACATATATACATATATATATATATATATATATATATATATATATATATAATTTAAATGATCTGGAAGAGTGGCCATTCAAGACAACGTTCATTTCGCGATTTGAAAAGAAAGATTGAATGAGTTCAAAAATTCGTCCATAAATACCACAACATTTCAACTTGTGAAGAAGATCAACATGTCAATACCTATCAATTGTCAAATGAGATATCCAAACAACAGCCAGAACTTCACCATTCTTAACTAAAGTTTCTTAGACACTTTCACAATAATAGTTAATTCCTCATCTGTTGGCCTAGAGAAGCGGATGTCATATTGCTTATCTCTAAAAGATCCTGCGATGTGAGATACTTAACCAATTCAGGGTTGATTAAAGCATCTCGTACTTTGACAAAAAATAGTAGAAGGCTATGAACGGATCAGACGTATTTGCCTGTGTTCTAAAAGACAAGGACGACAGAAGAGGATTTGCAGCAAGCAAGAAACAACAATGCATTTATTGTAGTGTATAGAAAGAGTCAATTCAATATCATATTTGTTAAGGACTATTGCAGAGAAAGCATCAAGTCCACGAGTTTTTCGTGAATCTAGTTTAGAAATTATATCAGAAACCGTTCTAAATGAAAAGTCAGGCAACACCTCATATATCTTTCATGTTATTTGCATATGTTCTTTCTCTCTTTCTGTCTTTCTTTCTGATGATTTACACTCTCTCATCCTTCTTTCTGATGATTTACACTCTCTCATCCTTCTTTCTTATGAATTTACATACTTTCCTTCGTTCATTTTGCTTTCTTTCTTTTTCATTCTTTCTTATGATTTTCATAATTTCTTTCATTCTGTCTGATGATCTGTCTTTCTTTCTTATGATTTACTTTCACTTGTCTTTCTTTCTTGTGATTCACTTTCTTTCTTTCATTCTGTCTTTCTTTCTTACTTATTATTTACGTTCATTTTTCTTTCTTTTGATTTACATGCATTATTTCTTTCATTCTTTCTTGCTTTCTTTCATTCATTATTTCTTCCTTTCTTATTATTTAATTTATCTTTTCTTTCTTAATATTAACGTTCTTTTGTCTTTTTCTTTCTTATGATTTACATTATTTGTTTCTTTATTATAATTTACGTTCTCGTTTCTTTCTTTTTTCCTTCTTTCTTTCGTCCGTTCTTTTCTTATTTTTTATGATTTACGTTCTATATTTTTCTTTCTTTTTCGTTTGTTTCTTTCTTTCTTTTCACTGACGTTCGTTTTTCTTTCTCGTAATTTACACTTTTTCTTTCTTTTTTCTTTGCTTTCTTTCTTATGGTTTACTTTATTTTTCTCTTTCTTTCTTTCTTTTCTTCGTTCTTTTGCTATTTTTTTCTATTCGTACGACGATTTCTTCACACGAAGATTTGAACATTTTCTATTTATTCTATATACTAGTTTCCTGTCCATAGTTCATGTTTCTTCCTTTGTTTCTATGACTATTTTGTTTCTTCATCCACGCCCATAAGTCCGACCACACATCCCGCCTTTTCAGCCCAGAGACCAACTATGTTTCACAACTCCAGATACTGAAAATGAAACAAATGAATGCTGAAAATGTCTCCTCTGCCTTTTAAGTTGAAGAATTCGTGCTCACGTAAAAATTCATCGCGGATGCGCGCTTTGGAGAAGGAGTGTTAAAATGAGAAAGACAAGGTAGAAATCGGTACAAATGATACCAAGACTGCAAATAAATAAACAAAATTCCCAGCTTCCCACGCCCCAACATCCATCGCCATTACCTTTCCCGCCCTAATGCTGTAAGTGCCGTCGGCAGCGTATAAACGATACACACCTGTAAGTACTACTTTCACGAACCTTTTATCTTAATGAAATTCTAAATAGAGAGAAAAGCAACATGGCGGATGTTGCACGCTTTGATGTTTTGTTTTGTTTTTTGTTTTTTTTCAGATTATTTGCCTTACTTCCTTTTTTATTTTATATTTGTTTTATTTGATTTTGGTGTGTGTATTTTTGTGTAAGGTTCGGGTGGGTATGTGTGTATGTTTTTTTTTTAAATTAGTGGTTCGGGATATTTTTTTCTTGTTGCATTTTTTCTTCCTCTGAGCGTGTTTGCCTCATTTATAGTATATTGATTTTTAATACTCTTTACACATTCTCTCTTTTATTTTTTGTCTTTGTTTTTATATTTTTCAATATTTTTTTCAGAATTGTCGATGTTCTGTCGATGTTTCCTCTCCTAATTTCTCTACCCCCATCTCTCTATCGTTCAAGCGATCAATTCGTTACTTTTCGCCTTCATTTTTTATTTGGTGGAATTCTTGATTTCGACAGTTGACTGTGATCTTTTCACCTTATCTATTGTTCTCTCTGATAGAATCGTTCGTCTTTTCTGTTTTATTTTCTTCCCATCTTTTCTTTACTTTTTTCTTTATCTTTGTTTCTTTTGAGCTTTCTTACGCCTGTTTTCAAATTTTCTTCCTTTATAATTGTTTTTCTTAGTTTGCTTTGTAGTCATGTTCATTTTTTCTTGTGTTTTTCCTTCTTCCTGCATTCAGTTTTCACTTATATTCAGTGATTCCTTTGTACTTTTCTTTCTTTTGTCTGTCTTTCTTTTTGTCTTTATTTTTTGTATTTATTTCTTTGGTTTTTCTTTTGTCTTTTTTTCTTTGTTTTGTTTTGTTTTTATTTCTTTTGTCCTTTCTTTCTTTTTGTTTTTCTGTCTTTTGTTTTCTTTGTTTCGTTTGTCGTTCATTCTTTTCTCTTTATTTCTTTTGTTTTTCTTGCTTTCTTTCTTTTGTTTTTTTTATATATATTTTGTTTTTCTTTCTATCTTTTGTTTTTCTTTCTTTCTTTCTTTATTTCATTTTGCCACGTTTCCCTATCTTTCTTCTAACATTTCATTTTCAAAATAGTTTTTTTCTTTTTTTTAGTCTTACTTCCTTTGTTCATTTTCCCCCTTCTGCAAAAAAAGAAAAAAAAAAAAACAAAATAATTTCATACTCCTATTTTTCTTTTTTAATTTCGATTATTTTTATTTGTATTGTTTCTCAGTTGGTGTCTTTTGTCTCTTATTTCTTTCCTGTAATCTTTCATCGTTTTTCTTGTTTGTGCCATTCATTCACACTTCTTTCGTTACATACATAGATTAATAGATCTATCTATCTATCTATCTATCTATCTATCTATCTATCTATCTATCTATCTATCTGGTATAATTGCGTGTAGCCTGTTCATATCTATCTAGCTATTCCAACTTTCAAGGAAAAAAACTATCTTCTCTGTTCATTTGTAAAATATAAATAACACCATTTTTTATAAATTTTTATATTTTTTATTTATAAAACAATTTACTTATGTAAAAGCTCTTAATTGTGAATGCACAGAATAGTATTCCCATGCCACATTTTTGTACTTTTTTATATTTTTTAGCTTTACTTTCACCTTCTTTTCTTCCCACTTTTTCATTCATTCATTATTTCTTTCTTTCTCTCTAACAAAACATTTTTATATTCATTTACATTTTGACATATTTACTATCATTCATTAATTTATTCGTTTCATTCATTCATTCATTCACACATTTGTGTGTTTTTTAGTTGTTTGTTTCTTTCTTTCTTTCTTTATTTCTTGCTTACGAAATATTTTATATTCATTTAATCTTCCGCAAGGCATTAATTGATTCACCGCTTTTCTTTCTTTCTTTCTTTCTTTCTTTCTTTCTTTCTTGTTATATTTTTAAATTTTATTTTTATCCTTCAATCTAACCTACTCCCTTTTTTGTCTCACTTGCACTTTCTTATTTCTCCTAATCGCCCCCACTGATTGCCTTTTCCTTCTCCATTTTTCTCTCTTACTTTTTTTTCCATTTGAACTCATTTCCTTCTTACGTATTTATTTGTCTGTGTCAGTTTGGCATTGGTTTGCTTACTTTTGTTTCTCTTCATCTTTTTTTTTTCTTTTTCCCGTTTCCATGTCTTCGTGACACCGACATTGTGTTCGATCATTTTTGTGTTGCGATGCCAAGAGAAATCGGGTCAACATTCGTCGAGGGCAGGCGGCCGCCGCTACCGCAGACTCCAGCGGCGCCACTGACTTGCCGCTCGATAATTTAACTGCCCGAAAAGCTTCTCCAAACCGGCAACAAATAACAACGAAAAAATAAGAATGCAGTGAAAAATAAGTAAATAAAGAAACAAACAAAATCAGTGTAAAAGGAAAAAAAAAACAAAAAAGAAAAACAAAAACAGATGAATGAAGATTAGGCTAATATTTATAGCTAACCAGAAGGCGATCGAATGAAGAAGAAGAAGAAGAAGAGAAGGAGGAGGAGGAAGAGAAGGGGATAAAACTGTATTGGTTGGAGGAACAGGAAAAGGAGAAGGAATAAAAGAAAGAAAAAGAAGAAGAGGAAGAAGAAGAAAAGGAGGAGGAGGTGGAGGATGAAGAGGAGGAGGATAACACTGTAATGGTTAGAGGAACAGGAAAAAGGAAAGGAGAAGGAATAAAAGAAAGAAGAAGAAGAAAACAAGAAGAAGGAGAAGAAGAGGAGGAGGAGGAGGAGGAGGATGAAGAGGAGGAGGATAAAACTGTAATGATTGGAGGAACAGGAAAAGGGAAAAAAGAAGGAATAAAAGAAAGAAGAAGAAGAAGAGGAGGAGGATAAAAAGTAATGGTTGGAGGAACAGGAAAAGGGAAAGGATAAGGAATAAAAGAAGAATAAGAGGAGGAGGAGGAAAAGAAGGAGGATAAAATGTAATTGTTGGAGGAACAGGAAAAGGAGAAGGAATAAAAGAAAGAAGAAGAAGAAGAAGAAGAAGAAGAAGAAGAAGAAGGAAGAGGAGGAGGAGGGTGAAGAGGAGGAGGATGAAACTGTAATGGTTGGAGGAACAGGAAAAGGAGAAGGAATAAAAGAAAGAAAGAAAGAAGAAGAAGAAGGAAGAGAGGGGGAGGAGGGTGAAGAGGAGGAGGATAAAACTGTAATGGTTGGAGGAACAGGAAAAAGAGAAGGAATAAAAGAAAGAAGAAGAAGAGAGGGAGGAGGAGGGGGGAGGAAGAGGAAATAATGAAATCAAAAATACGGATGAAATCAGTTCATATCAAAATAAAGAAAAGAAGTTTACAAAATTGAAAGAGTAAAATAAAATGAACAAAATGGAGAAGAATGGCGATTCTGATAGTCATGTCAATGTGAATGAAAAAGAGAATAAAAATAAGGAGAAAATAAAGAAAAGTAAAGTGAGCAATGTATTTGAAGGAATCAACAGGTAGAGAGAGAGAAAAAAATATAGAAATCCCCCGATTAGTGCGGCTAATGCGTCCATTAAATGATACGCACTAATCGAATATAATTACTTACAGAAAATTATGTAATTTGTACCTCAATATTTTTTAGTCTCATTCACACTTAATTTCAAATTTGTGTACTTTTTAATTAAAATGTAAGTACATATAAGAAGATACAATATAAATGAATTAATGTTTATTAATCAAATTTTTCATGAAAAATTTATTCATAGTCTATTGCCGCATGTTATTCTTCTGCTATATAATCATATAATTGTCCTTACTGAGAAATTGTATCTTCAAATTTTCTAAACATGTCATAATCATTAGTGTTTTAACCGGAAAATGGTATTTATAATCTTTCCATGGTAAATGAATACATCTTTTATATTTCGATATTTTTTAATAAATGTTAAAGGAAATTTCTGATTTTTTGTTTAAAATATTGGAGATGTATTTAGATACTTCGGTATCTAAATACATCTCCAAATTTTTTAATAAAAAAGATCGGAAATTTTCTTTTAAGACCTTCAAAATAAGCATGAAAAAAATCAAAAAAAATTTAATAGAGTCAAATATTCAAATATGTAATTTTATTATCGGCTTATATTATAAAATTCATCTATTTCTAACCATCGTTTTTGTTAACCCTGCTGTAATTACGTAGATAACGTAATACTTGACAAACAAAATACTTAACCATTATCCATTTTTATTTTAAAAAAGAAGAAGAAAAAGAAGAAGAAGAAGAAAAAAAAGAAGAAGAAGACGGAGAAAAAGAACAAGAAAAAGAACAAGCGCAAGAAGGATAACAACAAATTGTAAACAGAAAATAAAATAATGTGAAAAGAGAACGAAGAAAAAACGAAGAAAAAAAAGATAAACGAAGAAAAAGAAAAAAGAGGAAATTGAAAAAGAAAAAGAAGAAGTAGTAATAAAATAAAGAAGTGAAAAAGAAAAGGAAAAAAAAACAATGACAAACGTACAACTGAAAGGGGAAGGCAAAGCAGTTAAATGAAGCACAATAGATGATCGTGCATACATATTAAATCCGGTAATTTTTGTAGACATGGAATTTTCCATCATATAATTCGAATATAAATCTATAAAAATACAACAAATAGAATTCTTTTATGGCCATCCAATTATTTCGAAACATTTTTTTGTAAATAAATTTTTATCGAACGTGAATTGAAATATCGGAATTTCAATCCGACGCTTGAATCTGCTGCAAACCAACAGAGGCCATTGAAAGCGAGCAGATTGTTGAATCCATGCTAGATGTTTCATAATTATCAAGCTGCCGATTTTGCTTCTGCAGCAGACGTTTTAGCAAAGAAAAATAAAACGTATAGCTGAGTTTATGGAGTCAGTCTCCCTGTTGAGGCCGGCACATGAGCAGACTTCAAGAAACATACACAGTTGGATAATTACGAAGAGAGATATTTATGGGTTAAAGTGCCAATATCGGAGATACATCGTATGTAAATACAAAAGTGGACATTGAGATCAACTCCTAGAGAGGATAATCTGTTTAATGCTTAACCGGAATCTTCAGGCCATATGTGTTGTGTTCTGACCCTATAATTTTATATAGATGGTTATGGCATCATTTTAGGTGTAAGATCTATTGTATTATACTTATTTTTAATGAGTGGGCGGTAACGCTTACGTTTAATATTTATTCAAGAGGCTACTGAGTAGAAATAATTGGGGATCCGAATAGAGTTATTTGTAGCTATTTTATACAGCTTTTTTTTACTCATTATTTATTGTAATGATTTCAGAATTCTATAAATATAGTCATCCACAGACAAACTGTTTCTCTATATCACGGTTCATTAGTGTGGTGTGACATCAGTCGGAGACTCTCATCCTTAGGTCATCTGCTCACACAGCGAAGTAAGGGAATTTTAACACATTATATACGAGATATAAGCATTACCCGTTACCAGAGTGCTCAATTCATTGTAGTAGCCGAAAAATTCCCATTTCATCCAAAGTGCTCAAACTATGAGATGAGACGTATATAGTCATCCACAGACAGACAGTTTCGCTGTATCAGAGATTACTCAATTTTTAGCGAAGAACATTCAGCGTTAATTATAGGTAGTAGACGAATTCCCTTTCTTCCAAAGTGCTCAACCTACGAGAGGGGGTGTATATATTTTAATGGTGAATTTTAATGTATTCTATAAATATATATAAAATAAAAGATTTAATAACATATGTAAAATATTAATATAAATATATAAAATATATAAATATTATAACGAAAAACAGGTGATAACGAAATCTACGATTTTAAAATAGGTTTACTAAAGATAAAAAGGTGCACAAACTGAAAAGGATGAGTACGACGATGCTGATGATGTATAAAAACAATAGATGCTAATGATGACGACAGTGACAATATTTCCGACGTCATCGATGCTTCAATGGTAAGCACGTTCACCACGTTTGGCCGCGCTGATATGGAACGACAAAGCCGAAAGATAAAGAGAAAGTATGAAAACGTTATGCAGTGCAAAATTTCGGTTGCTCAAACTGCTGACGGGAATTCTTGATCGATCCATTGTACCTAATTAGTGACACCAGTTGGCCCCGAAACGTTGGCTTGTTGACCTTCTACGACTCCCACGGGACGACATCAACGCAAAAACCAGCCACTGGCAACATTCAACTTCCTCTTCAACATGTCGGCCACTGATGATATGTAACGGATGCATACGGTGCGAGTAATGTGTCAGCAATAAACGAATGTGTGTATTTTATGAATATATTTGTGTGTAAGTACATGGGAGTATCCCTGTGTATGTGTTTGTATCTTTGCGTAGATTAGTGTAAATGTGTAATTATATGGATGTATGAGAACAGAGAAACTCGGTGTCCAACTTTAAGGATTCCTCGTTACTAAATTGTAATAGTCATAAATCAGATTTTGGGAAGTGGATTGCACACGAGGGCATCTTAGCCACTCCTAATATATATATATATATATATATATATATATATATATATATATATATATATATATATATATATATATATATAAATGAATAAAATATGTCATTTTTTATTTATTTGTTTAAACGTCCTTTTAAATGGATACCCATATTAAACAGTGTATATATTTATTTACATCTACTTATTTGAGTAAATAATCTATATATAAATATTTATTAAATATAAAAAATTAAAAGAGCAGCATCTGCGTATATATATATATATATATATATATATATATATATATATATATATATATATATATATATATATATAAGTATTCATTAAAAATAACGATGAAAGAAAGAAATAAAAAATAAAGCTCAGTGTCCACATCCCTGAACGCGTTTTTTACTATTTTTTTTGTTTTTTTTTTTTGTTAGACTATTTTTAAATGTTGGCCAACAAGGCATTATCATTAGCAAGGCTTGTTGTATTGTCCTAATGGTTATTGCGTAGATTATATTTCAAAATATTCTAAAGGCTATTGCGTGGAAAAAACTGTGGTTCTGAATGCAGTTTTTAGCAACAATTTTAGTGTTGTCAGTTAACTTATTGTCTCATATTCATTATTAGCTACTTAATAATGTGTTGGTGATTATTATTATTATTACATTTACTTGTGTTTATGTGTGAATTCGTAATTTGTTTATTTATTATTTAATTATTTTTTTTGCTTATTTTATTTATTTTAATCTATAGTTGGAGTTGGTTTTCTTATTTGTTTCGTTGAAAGTGTTGGCCTTGCCTATAGTGCATATATTTGCATATTTCATGTTTTTTACATTGTATTCATTTTTAGTTTTCGATATTTAAGTAATATAGTAAAAATCTGTTTTCGTGTCTGCGTTTCGAGATAAGTTCTCGTCTTGGAAGGTAAATATAGCGATTTTCTTCCCCAATACAAAGTTTACAATTTTTGTTTTATTGATAGATGCTGACGCTGTTTTGCATATTTTCCATGATATATTTTATTTATATTTACATACACGCTATCTTTGATATTGCGGACTTTTAACCCCAAAATAGAGCATACCTTAAAAGGATATACACAAGCACGAGCACACACACACACACACACACAAACTCAAACACAGACGTATGTATATATACAATGCAAGCTCGATTCTTGAATGTATCACATGTCGAACAAATCGGTTTTCGAAAATGCATCGGTTAACAACCAAAATTTCGGTTCTCGAATAACGTTACCGAACCGGGTTAACCCGGAAGGAATCATTTCTGAATCGTCCGGCGTGTTTTATACATTCGTGTATTGTGTCGTGCTTTTCTTTTCCAATTTTATTTTACTGTGAATTTTTTTTTATTGCTACATTGATTCCTATCGGAAAAATAGCTTCGGGTTACGAAAATTTCGGGTTACGAACGGCCTTCAGGAACGAATTAAATTCGTCAAGGTTCCACTGCACACACACACGCATATATATATATATATATATATATATATATATATATATATATATATATATATATATATAATAAAGAAGTGTTTCATGCTAGGTACAATCGTCACGATGACGCCTAGCATGAAACAGCCTGTCGCCTCTGTGTGTTGACTTCATTTTTATATTTATATCTACATACGCTCTCTGATATTGAGCATTTTATTCCATAAATATAGCTCAGTTTAAAATTATATTTCTTCATATATATATATATATATC